CCCCTTTATATTTAAAAATATAAAGCCAGGTGTGGGTCAAGTATGCAGATGAAATACCAAAAATCCAACGGGCTGGTACTAAGGACTCAGTCGGTGTGACCCAGCCACTGACCACAGTTATCTGGCTAATCAGAGGTAGGGTTTGTGGCCATTCAGATCCAACCATAGCCACCCATACCAGAACTGCAAAGTTTAAGCCAGGAGCTAATTACTAAGTTGGTATACCACATTTTATTGCTGATTAGGCTGGAGACCACTAGGATTCGTCAGCTGTTAGAAATCAAGAACAGTGTTACCCCGGGTAGCTTTCAGAAGGCTGATTTTCCAAGTTTGCTTTGAGAACCGTGCCCAGTCGGGAGCTGCCGTTCTTGACCACTCAGATCAACGAGTGTTGAGTCAACACACATACGTTCCGCTGACCAGCACAGAGGCCAAAGCGTGAGGTCATTACATATAAATAGAGCAGAGGGCAACTACACTCCCTCCACCAGGCAACTTATTTGCTACACTAAAAGGCTCCTTGCCACCAAGTCCCAACTGAAGTCCCCCCCGACTCCACCTGCAAAGCTCTGTTTAAAGCAGGAATGGAAAGCCCTGCTCTGGAGGCTTCACTCCTTTACAATTACCCTCCTGCCCATCACCTTTACTGAATTCCTTCCCACAACCAGTTTTCTAAGTTCTAGAATGCAATGAGGAAGAGGTGCATTGGTGCCTAACCATGGTATCATTCAACTCCTGCATTAGAAGAGCTTTCTTAACCTCAGCTCTTCGGGGCCATTCTTTCCCAACTACTCATCACTGTGATGAAAGGTCGTCCCCTCCTTCTGCCAATACTTCACATGTGAAATCTATCACGAGAGACTGAATGCAGGATTAGCTATGAGTCCAACGACTTCTAAAAGATCTGCAAAACTATCAAATAAGGCTACTCTTCTAGCGCCCCTTGGGAAGCCCCTTCACAATGGGATGTTACACTAAAGGAACAAGGGTGGATTTGTTCATTCCAGGTTTTCCATAGCATCTTATGGAAAAACCTGAATGAACTTTGTTGCCAACTCAATACTAACACCTCTCAGGAGCTACCCTTCTTTCTGAAGAGCCTTGGTGAGCCTCTTCTCATCTTGCCCATATTTCTATTCCCCTGTTGGCAAGACATGTCTGTCCCTATGCTAGTGACCCCCCCAGCACTGAGGTCTTGCTCGGTCAGTGCCTGCCGGGTGCTGGCTGCTGCTGTTTCCTCTCCCCGCTGAGCAGAAGCACGTGGGTCATGTGAGCTGTGGGACCTTAGGCACGAAGGTCACTTCTCGGCCCACAGCTCTATTTGCAGTAGCACTCTCAGGGCGGTCCTGAGGGACAATGAGCCAAATTAGGTGAATTCAGTTAATGTGGCAGGAACCTAGCCACACAGCGTGGCTCCTAAAACGTGAATTAAGATTTCTCAAAAAAATTGAAAAGCCGTCTCTTCCACAGCCATGAACCAATGCAGTCCCCTCCCTGCCTTGCTAGAGCATATCCATCCACACTGGTGGTGGAGGAAAGCCTTCGCCCCGGTGTTTCCTCCTGCAGACAATCCCTCCTCACAGCTTCTGAGGGCAGAACACCACACACGTCTAGGGGCACAACTCGAGCCTTGAGCTTATCCTGACAGCCGCTGTCAGCAATGGCAGGCTGCTGAGCGCCCAGCTCAAGTCAGCTCGGGTTGCTGACCCCCTCAGAAAGGACTTCCCTGGCAGTCCAGTTGCTAGGACACACTTACACTGTAGGCAGGTTCAATCCTTGGTCAGGGAACAAAGATACCACGTGCCGTGTGACTTGACCAACCACCCAAGGCACTATGTGAAGATTTTCACGTGTAGAAACCCATCTCATGTAAGACATAATGAGATATCCAATGGGCAGCTAACTGAGAAATATCAAGCCAGGCACGTGACCCAGTTTTCATTGAGACCTACAGCTCCCACCCCCAGAGCTTGGAAGTTTAATACTCATTCACCCAAGAATCAAAAGGAGCCATGATTCAAACTTAGGGTTCATTTCCTAAGAGAAATGATGGAGCCCCAAAAGGCGTGATCCTTTTTCAAGGTCAGTAAACCCAGGTCTGATTCCCAGACTTAGGTACTTTCCAATATACACCGTTTCACCCCTCCCCCCATCCAACAGCCTTCTTTGAGTGGTGAAGGGGGTAAAAACACCCAGGTCCAATCAAACCTTCGAAAGCAAAGGGAAATTTCAACTCGTTAAATAAAACTAAGCAGCACTGACATCAGATCTGTAAGTTTATTTGCTCAATGTACGACAGCTACATAATGACTCACATTCATGATATTCCATCACTGAGGAAAACTGCTAAGAATGGTCCGTGTGTGAAAGAATTCCTTAGAGAAACACGGAGTTGGAAAAAAAATAACCACTGATTAGACCTTAAAAATAGTTCACTGCATAACATGACAAAAAGCACAAAGGCTCATTCAGAGAACATATTCGGTGTTCTCCTACACTGTAATAGTTATAATTTCACCATGACAAACACCAGACATTAAGATTAAGCTAACACTGGTGTTTCTTTTGCTCCCCCCCCAAAAAAACAAAATGTATAACTGCATGTCACTATAGCAACATCCAAAACAGATCAATTTGTTACGATCACTATTTGGTAGAGCAAACTTTACCCCCAAAAGGAAAAAATTAAATTAAAAAAACTTTAAAAAATTTGAAGACTTAATTTTTTTGTCATAGGAATACATAACACCTACAGTATAAGTTAATAAATTTCAAGCTACTGTATAGAAATACAACACTAGCATGCACAATATTGTATCAATAGAGTAATGGAGGAGTAATCATTTCACTGGAGAGACAGTATCATAGGCAAGTGCATTTCTTTAAAAATAAAGAAAAGAAAAGAAACCATTCAAGCTGCTTAAATATCAAGTCTCCCATTCCCTCTTCATTTTTTTTTAAGCCCTCAGATGTGGTTTTTATCTTGCATTATTCTAAAAAGCAGCCAGAGCCAAAGCTGAAATTTAAAAGAAAAATAGGTTTTGTAATTCCAGTAAATCATTTCCAAATGCTACAAGGGAAGGACACAACACTGCTCACTGGACATGAAGATAAAATTAAGGAAAGTCCCACCTACCTTCCCCCCTCCCCGCCCCCAATCTCTTCCCATCCATGGCATTGACCTTAGGCCCCCGCTCGGGCACAGAAGCTATAAAGCTCTCTTCTCTTAGTTCTTCTGGCAGGCTCGGTTAACTGGGACTCGCTCTTGAGCACAAGGAGGGGCCTTCTAAGGAAAGTCACGCTGGGCAGACTGTGCCAGGTGACAGGGCATCGTCACTCGTCTATCTTCACTGTCACCTGGATCCTGGTCACTGTGTGCGTTTCACAACTGGAAGCTCCATTTTGGTTTTAACCAAAGCAACTGTCAGGTTTTCCCTCAATTATGACTCACTCTTCTGCCTGCCTAAATAAAACAAAGAAACAAACATATCTGGTGTCGTTACCTATCTCGGCAGTTCATGCCATTACTTGTAAAAAAAGGCTAAACGCATATGCAACAGGTCGTGTTTTCAGAAAGACTTATCCAAAATGAGAACAAAGGACCTAAGGCTGATGGAAACAAACTTGTGGAAAGAGCATGGTGGTTTCCATCAATTCTAAAACGTGCAAAGATGGCACAATCCAATTTCCAACTTCTATATCTTCATTAAGAAGAAAAAAAATATGAAAAAATTGTGGTCAAATAGGAGTTAAGGGTTTATTATCTGATAATGATGCTCTTTTATTTTCCTACAACAATTCTTTGGGGAAGGAGTGTTTTCACGGAGGAAAAACGGATACACGACGTTCCCAAAACTGGACAGGATGTTCATGGAGAGAGCTCTTCCTTCAGGATTCTTCTACCAGTAAGCTCCTAGCACCTGAATTTTCACACACTGCACCACGAACTTTCTCACAATGACCACCAGCTTCTACAACCCAACAGCTTTTCCACCCGTCCGTGTACATGCTGTGGGCACGAGGTACAATGAGGAAGACCCAAGAGAGGAGACAGACAGCAGTGCCGCCCGAGTAAGCTGTGGCAACTGAAAAAAACCCAGCACTTCTCGGGAAATATCAGCACAATGTAAATGACATACAGACCTGAATTTTCTCTAGTTTTGTGGCGTTCAATGTTTCTATTGAAGTGATTAATCGTTTGTTGTGGTGGATTTAACAAGGACAAAAATCCCACAGCCACCTGCCAAGCACCTATTAACCAAAACCTAACAAGTAGTTCTGATTCTCCTCAGGCAAGCCTGTTGGCCTAGGAGACAGAGAACAGCAAAACCGACCTGGATAAGGCTGAACAAGGATGTAAAAGCCAAAATAAAGAAAAACACACAATCAATGGCTTGATGTTAACATATGGCTGTAATGTAGAAATACTGTAACTGCAATTTAGTGTTAATACTGTCAACTAATCTGAAAACTGGCATGGCCTAAACCATAAACAGACCTTACGTTCTATCAGCTTGGGATTTTAATATTCCATGTCTGCTGAGAGTACACCCTGAAAAACAAAATGCACAGCTAAAACAGATGAGCTAGGAAGTACCCAAAACTTAAAAGATGAGAGCGTATGTACATAAAAATCCTTACTGGAACCACAGAACTTATTGAATGAGGGCCATTCCGTTTTAAGTTTTCTTTTCATCTTAAAACCCTATTTTCTAGCAATAAGTTAAATTAAAGACAGCTCCACTTGCATTAATCTACAGAACAGTCCATATGCCAGTGTGAGGCTGCTATTCCAAAACCAGCACAGCTAGCCTGACTTTCCACTAGTGGTATTTTGGCAAAAATGTCAAAAGAGGCGATCAAAGACAGGACAGGTCGTGGGTTTCTCCCTAGGAAGGTCATCCCTCCCTTTCCCTCCCCCACCCGACCCCCGACTCATGGGAAAAAAATAAAGACTGCAGTAGTAGCATCAGCGTGCGCTGCCAGTCCACCTGGGGGCCTTAATTGTTGCCTTCGCCGCCGTCGTCGTCTTGCTGGTCGCTCGTCCAGAGCGTGAGGTTGTCACGGAGCAGCTGCATGATCAGCGTGGAGTCCTTGTAGGAGTCCTCGTTGAGGGTGTCGAGCTCGGCGATGGCGTCGTCGAAGGCGGTCTTGGCCAAGTGGCAGGCTTGCTCCGGGGCGTTCTGGATCTCGTAGTAGAAGACGGAGTAGTTAAGGGCCAGGCCTAATCTAATGGGGTGAGTGGGCTGCATGTGCTCCTTGCTGATCTCGTGGGCTTCGCTGTAGGCCTTCTCGGAGGACTCCACGACGGTCGCCCTCTTCTCGCCGGTGGCGACCTCAGCCAGGTAGCGGTAGTAGTCCCCCTTCATCTTCAGGTAAAACACTTTGCTTTCATACTGGGTCTCGCTGCAATTCTTGATCAGGTAGTTATCCAGCAGGCTCAGCACATCCTGACAGACAGCCTCCAACTCCTTCTCTATTTTTTCACGGTAAGCACGGACCATCTCTATTTTCTTCTCGTTACCATCGGCAGATGTCTTCTGCTCGATGCTACTGATAACCCTCCAGGAAGAACGGCGTGCCCCGACTACATTCTTGTAAGCCACAGAGAGAAGGTTTCTTTCTTCATTGGACAGTGGTTCATTCAGCTCTGTCACCTATTGAAGAGGAAAGAAGAAAGAGCTATTATGGTACAGGTGATGGCAAGTTGGGCTAATCGTATCTTTTATGCTACTAAAACACAAAGAGATGGATCAGCTGATTCAAGTCATCAACACACAGACATTAGGCTGTGTGAGTACATGGGAGGGAGATGGAGAGGGAATGAGCAGCAAAGAAGGGGAAAAACCACAGCTGGCTCAATGGTGCACGAAGCCCCTGCTTCCTCCCTAGAGGAGGACACACGTGCTCAGCTGTTTCCGGAAAGAACTCGAAAGTCTAATGCTTAGATGAAAAGCCAAATTTTGATCTAAATTACCAGCGTCAACAGTTCTCTTGAGCAACATTACATACACGCCAATGCCATGGATTTTAATTAGAGGTGGCTCTTATACCTCATCAGTTTGTTTGTTTGAAACAGAAAACAGAATGACAGCTTCCTCCTACTCTTGCCCTATCTGGCAAACGTGAGTCCCATCTCTTTTGGGGGAGGGTATCTTGCATAATTGGTGAGAACAGAGTCACTGTCAAGTTGACTTTGAGAAACACAAGCTGTCTGTGCTCTTAAGAAGATATAAATTCCAGGCATGAGCCCGACTCTGATCACTGAGGTATTAGCAACTTGGGGGAACATGTGTTTTAGTGTTTGAATACAATTAGCAACAAGATGAAGAGAGGAGCAAAGTACTTCTGAGCTGAGGTGGCCAACAGTCATTAATGCTTCTTTCCAACCGAGTATTTCTAAAGGGTCTCCATCGTCCCAAACACCAAGAGCCTTGAGCAAACCAAAGCAACAGCACATCTATGATGCATATTTTTATGACTACCAAACAACTGCATGTAATAAAAAAATTAGATCAAATGACTAAAACTACATTTACTTAAGATATATTACCTCATTTCTGTGATGTCAGAGCCATACACTTTTGGGTGTCTGACAACCGTATGAAACAGAAAAGGATCGGGCTCTTACTGCTCTTACCTCTTTTTTCTCCCTCTTCTGGGGTCACATTTTTACTTGTCTGGTTGACTACCACATCCAAACCGGTACATGCACAGTCACTGGCAGTATCAGAAAGCCCAGACCATGAGCTCTTTCCTCAGATTTTCAACACAGAAGCTGTTTCCCTTCCCTCATCCTCTCAGGTACCTGCGCTCTAGTGGTAACCTGTTAATTGCAAGCAACTTCTGCTCTTTGTTCTGCTTCTGCCTAGAGCATTTACCAGTGTTCCTGCCTGGAAAAAGAACCAGGTTCTATCTTCTGTGAAATCCTGCCCAGCCCCACTCCTCCCACTCCCAGTTAAACTGGCTACTCTCTGTTCACCGTGCAGATTACAGCATCCACGTAACGTTCTATTACTGCCAGATATGAAAGGTAGTGGGACAGAGTCCACAAAGAGATGCTGGGCTGGGATTCCAGCAGACTTTACTAGTGTATGGATCACTTACATGTGGTATACATATCCCCCTCTTTTATAAAGGAAGGAGCTGAGTGGGAGACGGTTATGCTTAATGAAACTGGTCATGTGACTGAAACAGTTCCTCTCAGAATTAAGGCTTCCCTGGTGGCGCAGACAGTAAAGAATCTGCCTGCAATGCAGGAGACCCAGGTTCAATCCCAGGATCGGGAAGATCCCCTGGAGATGGAAAAGGCAACCGGCTCCACTCCACTACTCTTGCCTGGGAAATCCCACAGACGGAGGAGCCTGGAGGGCTACCATCCATGGGGTCACAAAGAGCTGGACACAACTGAGCAATTAACACACTCAGAATTAAATCAGAATTAAACCAGACTTAGGTTTATATGCTTTGCTTACTAATTCTCACAACAACTGGCCAATAATAGATACTCAACTACTTCCTAAACTTAAGGTTTTCTTATGTTGCCTTTTTATTATGCATTACTAATTCCCCACGCTAATGTGAGAGCGCAAACAGCAGCTCTAGCAGAGGTGGCTGAGGGGAAACAGATCCACTCTGGGGAACAAGGTTTTGGTACCTAAGCAGTTAAAGTGCGGTGTCCTAACCACTGGACCGCCAGGGAATTCCCGTGGCCAATTCCTTTTGAGAACACCCTGAACAATGTCCTTCACTTTAATTCTCCATGTAGGAGGACTCTACATTCTTTCATCCCCCAACCTATCTTCCCTAATCAAGTATCTCTTCTCCTTTCCAGGTGATTCTCTAGTCCTTAGCTCCCTTATGTCACTTCCTTTCCATGAACTTTAGTATCACATAGCCTGGAATAACTCCCCAGACTGGCTTTCCAACAGGCTGCGGCCTCTCTAGGCCTGAGCCCTGCACACCATAGGCCACCCGCCCATAGTCACTGGATGTGCAGATACTGAAGACTAGCCGCCTCTAGTGTAACCTGAGAACTGTCTCCAGTGCAAGCCCCAGTGCCTAAGGCCACTGGGGTCGGGTTCAGGCCTTTCCCCTAAATCATGCTGTCCTTATTTCAAGAGCCAGCAACTATTTAAAGTCCCAGTGACCTCACCAGTTCTCTATACCGTTAAGTCTTGCTGCGGGGCTGCGGAGCCCAAAGCTAGCCACTTGCACTTATGTAACGTTTGTCCAGTTGCCTCAGACAAACTGGAACATGAAGATTATGAAATGCCAACATCACCTTTAGATACAGTAACTCAACCACATTTGGAACATACCCAGATGTGCCCTGCTACTGCAAAACTAAGTTAGAAGGGAAAACCTTTAACACTTAAAAAAAAAAAAGTCTGCTCAAAGGCACGAAGATGTCTCTAAAAACCTTAAATCAGGGTGTTTTTTTTTTTTAATCCTTAAGATCAAAATGACTTGTATGAGAGGTAATCTGTGGTTTTTATTTAAAATAGAGATCCCAGTCATACTAGTTTCAAAAGTCAAGATAAATTTTAAGATCAAAAAAATTATTCACATAGTGTCCTAAAAAGGTTTAACCAAGATAGAATGAGTTTTCAGTGTGGGAGGGGTGTGAGACGTATATCATTTGGAAAGGAAGGTAGTGTTTTTCACAACAGTCACTGAACTGTTTCTAAGAACAGACCATTTGCATATATGGTTCCCCAAACATACTGTCATGGCTACTGGAAAACATGGACAGTTTGTGAATTCTCCAGTTTTACATTCTGTTTAAAAATAAAATTAAGGTTTCTCTTCTCAACTCCTATGATACCAGCTCAAGTTCAAGTTTCTTTTAGTGAGTTAAAGACAGTTTTTAGCAGAAAGGTTAGAAAAATCTGTTATTCTCACCAACAGTTTAAGAAACAGAACGCCCCAAATCCCAGCTGCTAAGGCATCAAGACATTAATTAGTATCAACTGTTCTCCCCTAACAGTTTATGAGGGGACAAACCTGCTCTCCCTAAGATTGGCAACCCTTGAGGTTCTTGGAAAGTTACTTAGATGACTCTGACCCCTATGGTCTTGGAGCACCAAGTCATTCACAATTCTTCAACTTATCTATCGAGAACCTTAAACTGTAATGAATGCAACTCAGAATGTTTAAACTCCGTAACTAGTACTTCAATTAAGCTTACTTTACTTAAAATATGAAAAAAAGGATTCCTAGGGCAGCGAAACTATTCTGCATGATATTAATACTCCAATGGCCAATACAGGTAATCACACACTTGTTTAAAAAAAAAAAAATGCCCAGACAGTGTTAACACCAAGACTCAGCCTCATGGGAAACCACACGTCTGTGCAGTAATGATGAGTCAGTGCAGGCCCGTGAGTGGTAACAGATGCATTCCTCGGGGACGCTGACCGCTGGGGAGGGCTGTGCATGGAGGGAGGGGGCAGGGGGCATGTGGGACCGCTGTGTCTTCCTGTGTGACCCTAAACTGCTTTAAAAAATAGTCTATTAAAAAATATATCTATTAGTAGACACCAGGTATCCCATTTGGCCCCCTCAAGCATTTTTGGTCCTCCTGTGTTTGGAGTGCTATCACCTCAAAGGGCCAAGAGGCTACGGAAAGGGTAAATGAACACACTACACCAAAAATAAAGGAAAAACACCAGAAGGTATAAGACGAGCATCAGTGTCCATGTTATCTATATTCTGTGCACACAGCAAAATAACCCACTGCAAGGAAATGTGACCCTGCTCTGCGTGCATACAGTTAACCATATATTCTAGAGACTTATCTGCTGGTTTAGTCGCTAAGTCGTGTCCAACTCTTGCGACCCCATGGACTATAGCCTGCCAGGCTCCTCTGTCCACGGGATTTTCCAGGCAAGAATACTGGAGTGGATTGCCATTTCCTTCTCCAAGGGATCTTCCTGACCCAGGAATCAAACCCAGGTCTCCTGCATTGCAGGCAGATTCTTTACCGACTGAGCTATGAGGGAAGCCCAGAGACGACCTACTGAATATCAAATTAAAATTTTTGAAAACAATCTGAAGTTCATGTCATGCATATCCGGACAAGACGCCTTCAACTTGAAGTACAGTGTGCGCAAAAAAGGAGTTAACACAACAGGCAACAGGCTTGAGATTGCTATCTTTAGAAAGGTCTGCTTGCGAAGCTGACCCTTGGCTAGCATTTGAGAACTAGGATTCTGGAAGGGTTCCCACTACCCCCAATTAAGAATGGCCCATTGGCCCTAAAAAGTTTGTCCAAACAATGTGTTCCTTCCAGAAGTCTTAAATTTGGTATGTGCAAGGCAGAAAGTACTCTGCAAACACTCCTTAGTAAGACCTCTGGGAACTGAGTGTCTAATGAGCTTCCTTCCCAGTGGACATTTCACACACACAGTCCACCTGAGTCTCCAGGGAGAGAAGACTCTTAGACCTGGCTTACTCTGATCTTCACCCCAAGCACCTTTTGTCTTTGCTGATTTAGCTTTGCATCCTGCCACTGTAATAAATCAGTCAAGAGTATGGCTCTGGGACTTCCCTTGCAGTCCAGTGGTTAAGAATCTGCCCTGCAATGCAGGGGACTTGGGTTCAAACCCTAGTCAGGGAACTAAGATCCCACATGCTAAGGAGCAACTAAGCCCAT